TTACAGGCTAGCAACTTAGCTTAACAACCACAGGTTTGTGAGCAGATACCGGTCATCATAACAAATCTTTAAAACAAAATCAAGTGGTTAAAAGCGGTGACTTGGTAAAACAGTCAGCAAATACTGTTACTTGCTACAGTAGCATTTATAGTTCAACATTTTAGGAAATATGCTTATTTGCTTTCTTGACGAAAGTTAGACAATAAGATAGATACCACTCTCGTATCTGTATGGTAAAAATGTAGCTAGAGCTAGTAACCAGTTACCTTAGCTTCGCATAAAGTTTGTAAATGGGAAACAGCTAAGTAGGCAGATTTTGGACAGAGCCAGGCTAGCGGTTTCCCAATTTTCAGTCTTTCAGACTCTACAGACATGTGCGTAGTATCCATCTTCTCATGTAAGACTGAGCAAGACACACACACACACCACACACACAACCACACACACACACACACAACACACACACACACACACACACACACACACACCACACACACACACAACACCCACACACACACACACACACACCACACCACACACACAACACCCACACCACACACACACACGTATTCCCCAAAATGTTGAACTATTGCTTTGGGCTCCTTCAAGTAAGACGCAAAGCTGACAGTGGATCCCTATTTAGGGAGTTCCCAAATCCACGTGTCATTTGACACATCTTCTTTGAATGTTAAGTTGAGTGTTGCCAACTGCAAAGGCAACCGGATACAGTATAGGTGAGGAGGAAGACGTAGTGTTGGCATGTTAGATACATTACCTACTTGTGCACTTACACAATGTTCTTCAGAGGTACAGGTCAAGAAGGCAACAACTATGACACACTAATCATGGTAAGATTACATTGCAATTTAGAATAAAGGAAGAGTGAGGTAAAGGTGGTTGTATTAGATCTAAAGCTTGGAGGAGTAAAAGGACAGACCGTTGTACATGTCAGCCCTGAGCTTGGCCCACTCAGCTGTCCTCTGGACGGAGGTTTCTCTTGGGTGAGGATGCGGGCGACCTTCTTCAGCT